TCTCCCACGCCTGGGGCTCGCAGTGGTCGCCCGAGGCTCCGGCCGGCGGACGGCCAACCCGCGGCGAGACCCCGGCGCTGCGCCCAATGGGAGGCGGACGCGGGCGGGACTTCCGGCAGAGCCGCGAAGGCGTGGGCGCGCGGACCGCTCTGGGGTCGCCGAGGGAACGGGCCTGGGCGGCCCAGCCTTTCGCACGACGCGCTCCTCGCGGTGCCTTAGCATCCGGCAGTGTGAGACCTTGGTGTTCTCTGCGCGCTCGCACCGCGCCTCCCGGTGCGAGTGAAGAAATAGGCCGGGTCAGGGCCGAGGGAACGAAATCCAGGTCGGGCCCCGGGCTTCCACCCGCCTTCTCTGCCACCGCTCGTTGCCACGCCTCTTCTCTTCTTCATCTCCCTTCCGATCTTCTGTTTCTATAGGGAGGTGAGAATCTCTGTCTCACGAGATTGGTAGGAGGATAAAATCAACGTGATGGCGCGTTGTAAATGTACATCGCTAGAGAAAGGACCAGGTGGCACTTGCAGGTAGCGGGGAGACTGCTGCTGGGCGAGTCTAGAGGTCCTGCCCCCGTCCCATCACCTCGAAGGTGAGAAAGGGCATTGCGCCTGTTGAGTGATGCAGTCCTTTAGATGAGGCTCCTGTGGAATCCAACTTCGAAAGGAAAGAACCCAGTGTGGGTAGCTCTGAAGCTGGGTTAGGATTATACAGCTGGAAAGACCTAGGATATGCTTTTAAGATGTGGCCATTCAGGATATATAAAAAATCAGTGCCATATCCCGTCATTTTCGTCCAAATTCAACAAGCATTACTGTCTTTATACTTTGGACAGAGGGTGAGGGAGTTGGGCATGAAACATCATTCATTCATTCATTCATTCATTCAAATAATTACCTATTCTGAGCAAGGCATGGAGCCATGGTGTGTGGGGAATGATCCCTGCGCTGATACTCGAGTGACCTTGATAGCGTTTGCTAAGCAGGTGTGGAGGACTCTGTCGTCTAGGGGGCTTTAGGGCCTATTAGAGAAGATGAAAACTTGCTGTGAAGCAAATCGAAAGTGATAAATGCTGGAGAAGAAGTATAAAGTCACAGGAGTTCAGTGAAAGGCATTTGCTCCTGAATGGCAACATCAGGAGGAAGAACCATGTAAGCAGGGACATCCAGGTGGAACAAGGGGCAGATCTAAGGCTGTACCGTAGTTCAGTGTGACCAGTGTGCACGGGCCTTAGAGGAGAGAGAGAAAACGGAGTTGGGAATGCTATGCTGAGAAATTTTGACTATTTGTAATCAATTTTTTTTTTTTTTTTACAGTTCCATGTGGGAGAGTAAAATTACTACTTTTAGGAAGCAAAATAACAAATTTTTAGAATATAGTTCTGGAAATGTGAAGATAGAATTGGCTGGAAAAGTAGAAGTTAGGATACTAATTAGATAAGAGGTAATGAGGGCTCAAACTATGCTCAGCAGTGAAAAAGGCAAAAAAGAAAGGAATGCAGGCGATTGTAGAGCTCTAGGCTGCTCTGTGACCACTGGTGTGGAGAGGTGACTGAGATCTGTACCAGGCTGACTGGGAGGATTATGCTTTGTTAACATAAGGGACACAAGAGTTGGAGATGATGGCTTCGGCTTCATTCAGATTGTGTTTGAAAGGCTGCCGTGAATGTTAAGTAATAAAGACGTGATCCCTACTCCAAAGGAAACTAATCTGGTAGAGAGGATGAGAAAACCATGTAAATAAGTCTTAAAACCTAGAAGAAGCACTGCAAAAGAAGCACAAGAGGAACATTCTAAATACTTTGCATGTTTTGTATTTTTAGTTGTCCCCCTGAAGATCTTTACCCTGTTCTTGAGCCTCGAACTATTCTTAATGGACAATTGTGTCTGGTGAGGCTGATAAAGGGGTCCACTTTATATTAAGGTGCATGCTAGTTAATGTCTTTTTCCTTTCCTCCCACATATTGCACCTCTTGTTACCTGGTCATTTCCTTGTCACTGCCCTATCTTCCTGTATCCAGTCTCTAGACTTCATTCTTTGCTAACATCTCTGTCAAGAAACTTCACATCTTCAGACAGGTTCCTACTCGTTCTGCAGATATACAGGAATTTGGGTAAAGGAGTATCACGTTTTTTGGTATTGCATTACACACTATCGTATAATCAGTAATTTCTGACAGAAATTCTAGTTTATGTCATTGGCCAGATTGTACAAGTCAGTTAACCTCAGTTTTATAAAATATTTATTGGTAAAACTGGAAAGAATGTTTAGCTCCTAGGCTGCTTTTTAGCCAACACTAACTATGGTACGGTACTGCCACAGGACCAACATACAGGCTTTTTGTATTTTTTTATTTTATTTATTTTTTTGGCGAGGCAACCCTTTGTTGACTTCACAGATTGCAAGGATCTTGTCAGTTTACAATCCCTTATTTTTTTTATTTTTTATGCCTACGGCACCTGGTCTTCCTAGGCGGTCTCCCATCCAAGTACGACCCTGGCATGATCCTGCTTAGCTTCCGAGATCAGACGGGATCGGGCTTGTTCAGGGTAGCATGGCCGTAGACCAGACTTTTTTTGAAAACATGAATGAAACTGACTTCTGCTCAAGATAGTATCATATACACACTTTGATGCCACTCCCTTTGTTCCAAACGCACAGTAGAATTAATAAGAAAAGATTAAAATTACTTGTCCGTATTCAAAAACAAGATAAACATTTATGGTGACCAGAAACAAAGAGCCGGAATCTTGCCAGGCTGTGGATCCAGAAACATTGAAGCAGTTTGGAGTTTATAACCTATAAGGTAATATGATTGAGGGGGTGCCCCCATAAAATACGGATAAATGGGGCCAGGGTTGGTACTCGCAGTTAGGACTTAAGATGGAGCTCCCTTAACAGAGATTGGGAAAAAAAAAAAAAGCCGTCCATGCATGAAAACATAGTTTATATGAAGTTGTATACTTAGGGAGCAGATACAACATAGAATCCAGACCTAAATCCAGCTACCCTCTCACTTGGTGCCTGTAATCTCCTGTCTCCCAAAATTTCATGGTAGACAAAGTCTTAAGATACTAATATAAGACTTGTTTCTGGTTTCCTGGGGATTGAGTAGAAGTTACCACAAAACCATCAGGGAGGCAGAGATACTTGTATGGGGAAAAAATTCCTTTTCACAAGGAGCTTATAAGTTCACCTTTCAAAACATACAAGAAAACCTAACCAAAAGAAAGACAAAAATCAGCATCTAGAGATGAATTCACTGCAATTGAAATGAAAATAATTGAGTGACCCGATAATAAGTATGTTTAGAATGTTCAAAGACATTAAGGATACTTATTTTTAAAGAATAAGAAATTATGAAATAAAAGTGGCAAATATTTAAAGACCCAGTTAGAAATCCTAGAAATTAAAAATACAGTGATTGAATAAACACTCCATAAATGTCATGAATTCTAGATAGGTCTTAGTGGAAAGGGGTTTAATGAATCAGAAAGATGGAATCTAGGTGAATAACTCATTACTAAGAGAAGAACAAAAAAGGGAACAAAAAACATGGAGAATAGATTGAAGGACTTCAATGTAGTGTATAATAGAAGTTGCAAAAGATTGCAGTATAAGGACTGCAGAGAAATAATACTGCATTTAACACAATGTTTGAAAATGTTCTAGAATTGAAGAAAGATGCAAAGCCTGAATGCCATGCAGGATACATAAAAAATAATTACTTGAACACAGTGCAATGAAACTGCAGAATATCAAAAATAAATCTTACAAGTCATGAGAGAGAAAAGGTGCAAAACCTACCCTGGAAAGCAATTTGACGACATTCTTCCCAACAATAATAGCAAAAAAAGACGAAGTAATCCTCAATTTGCTGAGAAATAATTCAACTTAGAATTGTATATCTAGCTAACGTGTCTTTCTAAAATGAAAATATAAAGAGATTTCAAGTTATATTATATAATGAATAAGAGATGGTCAGAACTAATTAAAGGATGCACTTTGCAGAAAGAAAAACTAACCCAAGTGGAAAGGAGTAGGATATAATAAACAATGACATGCACTAATACTAGGAAAATATATTGGTAAATTTCAACTTACCACTATTTACTACTGACTATTAAAACGAAGTTTTTGTGCAGAAATAATAGATGGAACTAAAATTTTAAGTAAAGATAAAGAAAACATAAGGGTGTGTATCATTTGGGATGTTCTGGGCAACGAGGAACAGAAACCCTAACTCAAAACTGGCTTGAAGTATACGGAAGTGTATTGTCTCGAATAACAGGAAGCCCTCAAGTAGGGCAGATCTCACAGTTGATTATTCAGTGAATCAGTCAGTGTTGACTGACTCAATTGTGTCATCAAGGACCCAAGTTCTTAACACTTCTGTTTTCCATTTTCGGAGTAGTCCTGATCCTCGGGTTCCTAGCAAGATAGCATTAGTAGCTCTCATCAAGTCTTGAAAGACTCCTTTTCATGTTTCACTGACCACAACTGGACCCCATTGTGTGATATCCCTGGCAACTGGAAAAGAGTCAACTTGGAGGGTGGTCATGCCTATACCCAATTCAGAAGGAGGAGTAAGGTTTTACTCAGGAGGAGGATAAAAACAGCAAAACTTAGGATTTTCTTAGAAATTTTTATTTAGAATGCATGAAAGTAATGTTAAGTATAACTGCTAAACAAATAGAAATATAATTCATCACTTCTGAGCCAGTCAATAAAACAATTGAACAGAACAGCAGGAGAAAAGGGAAGCGAAGAAAAAACATGGTAAAACAGAAAATAAGCGTATGGTAGTAATACATCAAAGCAGTGATCACAAT